CCACTGACGATAATACGACACGTGTTTCGCCTCTACACGAGGCATCCTCAGGTGATATAGACTCTACGGTGGCTAACCGCTAAGTCACTTAGCGGTTAGCCACTTAGCGGTTAGCTACCGTAGAGTCTATAACATTGCGAAGTAAATTTTTCTAAAACCTTTTACTAATTCTAACTAGAACATCGTCAGGGTTGATACATGTTGTAGAGCAATACGGCAGCTATATTATGGTTGCAGTACGGACGGTTTGGCTTAACTGGGGACCGACGCTCTCACAGAATATCAGCGTATATGCAGAGTGTTGAAACCGGCGTAACCGCTTACTGGAAACGAAGCATAGCATTTGCGTCCTCAGGGTAACACATTTGTATTTTGAGTTTTAATCGTAGACATATGTAAATGTCTATGGGAAACAGCATCCACTTACTATCAAGTGGACTATGCAACCGTTTATCACTCTTCTTTTATAATAAAAAAAAATAAAATAAATAGCACCGTACTCTCAATACTTGAAGGAGCTGGTCTGCTCGCGATTGCCACCGGTTCTAAGATGTAAATTGATTATATACACTAAAATTTGTTTAAAAATCAATACTATTAACAATGTATGCAAGTAGGAACGACAGAAGGTAATTCTTTTTAATACGCTTTTCATTACTTTCGCGTGTATCTCTCTATGTAACGGAATCTTTCAATGTAATTTTCACCAACTTATAGACGGCCGATTGATTTAATTTGCACACGTATCAAAAGGCCGATAACAGTACAATAATTTTGATAATTTGATGATTGATGATTTTATTAATAAACATATCTCAAGATGCGGTTTACGTTTACGATATCAGCTGAGTGACACACTGTTTAATAAACGAAACTCGACTCCCAAGTGTGGGTACTTGAGTGCAAGTCACAGAACAGTACCTAAGTACAGCGTTTTGAGATACTGTTTTTATGTGTTTCTTTCTTTCTTTCTTTTTCGTTTTCTTTTTAAAAAAATATTTTTATTAAATTATGTTTATTAATTAGCAACAATCTTGAGATGCTGATATCGTAATGAGGGCGTATCAAATGATTACGCGCTTTAATTCGTCGTTGAGTAACGTTTATTAATACGGGCCTAAGTGATTTTCAGCTTAGGAGCGCTTTTAAGTAGATATCACCGCCCTTTTACCTATTTCTACCACCAAACAGATCAGTGTTAAGTTCCGGATCGAAAGGCGAAATAGCGGATAGGATTACAAGCTGTGAGATATTTCATCTTGGTCCTCAGAGGCGATAGCGCATCTGTGACCTTCTTGGTTCTGTATTTGTTGTAGTGGTTTGACCATTATTATTTATAAATTAATAAATATTTTTTATTATTTATAATCCGTTACTTCCACACTAAGATTTTCTCCTGTATCGTGAGGACAGTTTACGTACATAAATTATTGCACAAGGACAAACATCCAGACCCGGAACAATTATTGTTAGGTCATATAAATTCTTGTTCCGTGCGGGATTCGAAGCCGTGGCTTTTAATGCCGCAACTCATTGCTTATCAACTACGCCACAGAGTCGTCATTAGGTGAAATGTTAATTTGTATGCATTCATTACCACATTATACGTGGTAGAGCCATGCTGCAGCTATATTAGTGGTATAGTTGTAGCACGAATGGGTCGGCTCGACCGGGGAAGGACCACGCTCTCACAGAAAACCAGCGTAAAATAGCAGCTTAACGCTGCTGTGTTTCGTAGGGTGAGTGTAGAGAACCGGAGACCCTTTTTACTGGCAAAGAGGCATTCCATCTTAGTCCTCACGGGTGACAACGCATCTGCATCTTTGATTCTTTATTGGGGATAGATGTAGATGTCTATGGGTCGCGGTGGCCACTAACCATTAGGTGGACTGTGTGCTCGTCTGTCACCCTATCCTATAAAAAAAAATCAATATAATTTTGTAAAAAAAGTATATGTTGCTTCATTTGTAAAATGTTAAATGTTTTAAGCCTTATTTTATTCCTTATAAAAGCAAGTTTTTTTTTTATATATACATATATAAATCTGAAGTACTGTAAAACTTACTACCCATCTGATGGCATGTGGCTTCCGCAATTCACTGATACCTGAAGTCAACTTCAAACAAAAAAGGACGTTGCGTTGTCACCTCTAAAGACTAAGATTTTATATTAAGGATTGTAATGTAATTCTGACTATCTATTTCCTCCAGACAGAAATCGACAGAAATATTTACCAGACGGTCTTCCTGGCAGATAAGGAGTCCTACCATAGAAAACAAGCACACTTGTCTTCGATTAAGAATCAAAATACAGATGCGTTGTCACTTCTAGAAAAAGTACGGGCTTCGGTTTTCGTCACTTACCATTTCACACTGGTATTCTGTGATAGCGTTATTCTCTCCTGTTCGAGGCGACGCATTCGTGCAACAGCCACAATACTTACGTTACAGCATGGCCCTAAATGTATAAGTTTTATGATTTAACTACAATATAAATAATAATAAAGCGATACTAAAAACTCCTTTGGAACTTTCAGTGAAATTAATAAACTTTTAACTGCCAACTGAAATTTTAAATATGACGGAGTAGTCATAACATGTAGATATAAGATATTTTCAATAGTAATTTGTTATAAACAGCACGTGCAGAGGTGTGAGTGCATCACGTCACTACCTACCTCCCCATCTCCCCACTAAGGATTTGTTTTACAGTTACTATAAATGTGTGGCTTCCCGTATTAAAGAAGATATTACTATTCTCTTTGGGCATTGAGCTAGTCATTCAATCGGTTACCGTGTATTTACTTCTAACTGTTCACCATGTTTCCTGTGTGAATTTTCCTTTTATTTAAATAATTTAGAAGAGTTCCCTTCCGAGAAATAGATAAAAATTACTTCAAGTTATTGATAAATAACCGAGTTTTCATAAGAAACTCTTAGCATTACGGCTTTTAAGATAGTTTCGTTATTAAGTATATTAAAGATCGGCTCGACTGGGGAACACGCCCTCAAAGAATACCAGCGTAAAATAGCAGCTTAACGCTGCTGCGTTTCGTATGGTGAGTGAGAGAACCAGATACCCTTTTTACTGGAAATGGGGCATTCCATCTTAGTCCTCACGGGTGACACTTCATCTGCATTTTGATTCGTAAATGTAGATGTCTATAGGCCACAGCAACCACTTACTATCAGGTGGACTGTGTGCTCAATTGTCAGCCTTATACAATAATAATTTAAAATTAAAAATTTTGTACAACCGACTTCAATATAAATTATTAAGAATAACTCAAAAACTATTGGTCAGACCTTGATCATATTTATTATATAGGTCCACATGGGAAGCACCAGCTTTCAAAAAAAAATAATTATCGAAATCTGTTCACTCAGTAAGAAGTTATGAAGTAGCACAAATAAAAAAAAAACATACAGTCGTATTGAGTAATGGTCTCTCCTTTTTGAAGTCGGTAGAATAAATTATAACAAAAGATATAAGATTATTATTCTTCATTAATTTAGAAGATTTTATTCGGGAGTTTCGAACCCCGAGGGCATCAATGAAGTTGGTAATTCCGAGTTTAAGTGCTGACTTACAAAGCACAGCTTGCTAGTTGTACGCTCTATTCCCGTACTCTTATCATCCGATGGCATGGAATTCCAACACGAGCGAAGAGAGATCACCCAGCCATTTTCTCTATGGAAATTAGGATGTTTTTTTTTATTTCAATAGCCTCGTGAATCATCCTTGGAAGAAATCGGTAGTCTTTAGCGAGGATTTGTGGTCTATTAAATCTAATGTAGTATCGAGGGCAATCCTGAACATGTTCACAGACTGCAGACTTCCCGGAGTGCCCATTCTTCACATCAGCTATGTGTTCTTTAACGCGATTTTTATTGATCTTATTATTGTCCATTACTATTGACCACATGATCAGCAGATTTTCTTACGACTACTAAACGATCGTGGTACCAGGCACTCCGATAACCTAGATGGTGTAAACCGATACGAGATGGTTTAACAACAATCGATCGGAACCTATAATATTTTTAAGCGTTTCCCATGGTTGCCTCTTACGAAACCTACGGAACGAAATGGTTTAACAATGGATTCTCTAACGTCGCATCCACACGATTTTCATGTTTAGATTTTTTTTAACTAGGGTGACAGACTAACGAGCACACAGTCCACATGATGGTAAATGGTTGCTGTGGCCCATAGACATCTACATCTATCCTCGATTACGTATTAAAATGCAGATGCGTTGACATCCTTGAGGGCTAAGAAGGAATGCCTCGTTTCCAGTAAAAAGTGTCTCCGGTTCCCTACACTCACCATACGAAACAGAGACGCATTAAGCTGCTATTAAGCTGCTGGTATTCTGTGAGTGGGTAGTCCGTACCATTCGTGCTACAACCGTAATGGAGCTGCAGCGTGGATCTACCACGTATAGATACTTATTCTGAAACAAAATTCTTTATCGAACAGTACGAATTTGGCAGATGGGGGCTAGGCGAGAAAAAGTATAAGATTTTTCCGCCACGACCCCTTCTGACGTAGTGTGGAAGGCTTTGGCGGCAATAAGAAAGCGAGATGGAATAATATCCATCTCCCTTGCACTTATTCTTATCTTGCCGTGAAATAAATATTATTTTATTTTAAATGACACTTCCGACGCTAGTAATTCATTTATTTGTATTTGTTATTCAATAAAATAATACGTTTATCAATAATATTATATTAGAAGCATCAGTAGCCTAATGGCAGAGCGCGGACCGCGAAATCCGAAGGTCGTGGGTTCAAATCCGCCATTCGACTACTGTCGTGAACCACTTCTAACACAAGCATTTTAAGCTTACCAGAAGTGGTTTAAGGGAATATTAGCAATGTTTAATAGCATTACTATTGTTTTAAAAATTACTACGGAAGGAACTTCATTCCAACCGAGTGTTCGTGGAACACTCGGTTGGAACACTAACGCATGTTTTTTTTGTCTTTGTCACTAGGTGTGGACGAGCCGGTAGCTTGGCAGCTACGCCGGGTGAGAAACTAATGGAATTACTGCGACCGAGTGTGGGCACTCCTCGCAGACACTCCACGGCCGCCTGTGCATCAGCACAGCAGCAGAGACCCACCGGCTTTGTATATTGCCCATCAGATGCATTACCTTACTGTCCGCCATCAAGACTGGCACCGCCTAGACCTCATATAAAGGTAAATATTTTTAATAAGCACTGTAATATACTAAATACAATTTGAATATTCAGTGTAATGTTGGTGAAACTAATATTTATTATAAATAAATTGCTCATAAATTGTTCCATGCAACTAACTATCTTTTCTACCGTCTTCAAAAAGCAGCCGGTACTCAATTCGACTGTATGTTTTTTTTTATGTGTGTTACCTCATAAATTCTTACTGGGTGAACCGATTTCAATGATTCTTTTTTTAATTGAAAGCTGGTACTTCACATGTGGTCCCATATATTATTTTGATCAAGGTCTGGCCAATAGTTTTTGAGTTATTCTTAATAATTTATATTGAAGTCAGTTGTACAAACTTTTTAATTTTAAATTATTAATACATGCATTAAGTGCATATCCCAATTTATATTTCCTTAAAGATTTTTTGTACCGATATTTTGAAGAAATGAACTGTTCACCTGTAATGGACACGCATGTTATATTTAAGTTTCTAAATAATGTTATTAAGTAACACTCTGCGTTGGTGATGTTCCATAAATAAATCTATACATATAATAAATCTGTAGAAAAGTCGTGTCTGTAATTCTAATATATTCTTGAAAAAACAAGTCCAGGGGACTAAATAAAGGGTTCTGAAGCCAAATTAGTGGCTTTTAGAATTTTTGTCTGTCAGTCTGTCTGTCTGTCTGTGTATTCCGGATTCACGCAAAACCTACTGAACCGATTTACATGAAGTTTTGTATGTAGGTAGTCAGTAACCCGGGGCAACTTATAGGCTACTATTTATCCGATTACGGAACTTCAAAAAAGGAAGATTAAATTTCCTTTAGATGTTAATTTTCTGTTGTATCTTAGTTATAGGCGGAATGACGGGTGTTTTTCAAATAAATACCATATTACCATATTTGTAAATAATGATAAAGTTTAAAATATAGTTATAATCTTGGTAAAATAATTTGAAACTACACCGATTTCGTATTCAAAACAGCGCCATCTATCATCAAATGGAAAAAGTTGTATATTTTGCCTTCAGTAATTAATAAATTTAATAATATAAATAACTTACATTTTTATGATTAATTTTTTAGATTTTTAAAATTATTAAAAATTGTAACGTTCAGTTTTTTAGTATTTTTGTTATTTTATTTAAAAAGTGTAATTATTTCAATAGATAATAGTGAAGTCTATCAGAAATAAGAAAATTGATAAGGTATTTATTTCAATTATTACTAATATATGTGTAAAGTGATAAAAACTGGTATGTCTGCAATTGTTGCATAATTTTCATTATCATCATAGTTTTATTAAAGAGATTTATATGTAAGTCGTAGCCAGATCGTAGAATTGATCATATATCATAAAGTAGTCTATCATTTCGTGAAAACACTGAAAAAATGATTGAAATGAATGTGTATTTAACACTATTTGATGACCGTGTCATTATATAGCTTGACCAAATCAATGAATAGAAATCTTTTGAAGTTATTAGTAACTAAACACAACGTTGCTTTTTCATAATATGGTGATATGACGATATCATTATCGTTTTTCACCGCTAGCGGCGCTGATAGCTTATTTTTAACAGAAACAGAACTTTTAAGAGAATTGACATCAATTTATCCCTTATTGATATAATAAATAAATATTCGTTTCTATTGCTGATATTACTAGATGGTATAGTTTTGGCTTTCATTATTTCATGTAATATTAGCGCCACCTACTTACTTCTAAATAAATTAAAATGGCAAGACATTTATAGAAACAGAAACAGAAACTTTTTTATTCTCAATATAGATTATAAATAATACTTATTGAAAGTCACTCTTTTGTATGATTACCACTGGTTCGAAAAAAAACCTCTGTCCTGGGAAGAACCAGCAAGAAACCCAGCGGGACTTTTTTTTTAAATAACAGCTTACAATCATGTATGTTACACAAATTAACAACACAACAAATTAGAAACAGTTTGGTAGCGATCACCTCATTTCCAGGGGTTATTATCATCCATAAATTCCTTAATATTATAATAACCCTTTTTATACAAACTTAGTTTAATAAAGTTTTAATAAACTTTGAGCAGGTCAAATTTTGTATATTTACTGGAATTTTGTTGTAAAAGCGTATACATCGCCCCAAAAATGAATTACTGACTCGATGGAGTCGAGTAACTGGTACTACTAGCTTGTGTCTGTTCCTAGTATTTACAGAATGAATATCACTTATTTTTGTAAAACTACTTTTATTTTTGTGTACATACATATAAAATGAAACAATACAATGCTACTGAATATACGATGTAAATAATTGAATCATTTACATTAAGTTCATCCCGCGTTGGAATCAGTGCAGCGAACTTTTTTTTGGCCAAAAACTCTACAGCCTGTGCCCAGTAGTAGCATGTATGTAAGCTGCTTTTTTTCTTTTCATGGGGCAATATATGCAGTTTCTATTTCATTCGTGTTTTCGGGTATGATAATTTATGTTTTCACTCTACCGTAAATATTAAGGCTTGCAAAGATGAGTAGAACTCATTATCGTCAGCCTATCAAAAGTCCACTGAAATGAACATAGGCCTCCCCCATAAATTGTCAAGTAGCTGGATATTTGATATAGTGGCGGGTTGGCAACCGCAGCTATTATTATTTTGATCTGTTGTCAAGAAGATGATGCAGATCATCCCATCTACTATTTTCCTATGTCGTCTCTTACGTACAGGACGATATGATGTGTTGGATTTTCTTTCACTGCCACAACAGTGCGAACATTTTTCTACTCCCGTTCATGAGTGTAGTGTTCCTCACGTTCACTGTGTATAAAATTTATAAGGAATAAAAGTAATTTTAAGGATGTTATCGCGTTTAAATTTAACTTTTTAAATTCTCGATGGTTTGGGTAATTTATAGCACTCATGGTCACGGGAGGGGTGGGAGAACTGAGGTGTTTGACGACCTGATGTCATAGTTAAAATGCAGTAGTAGTTTGAATTTAATTAAATTAATCAAGGAGTCCTTAGCAGATAGTAGCACTCAGCCATCTTCCCTATTAAAATTAGGATATTTTTAATTTCAATAGCCTTGCGAATCATCATTGGTAGGATTCGGTGTTCTATTTCAAGAATTTGTTGTATATAATGGTTGGGACGATACTAAACATCTTTACATACTTTAAACCTCCCGGAGGTTCGGTGCTTTCATTCGGTGAGAAGTCAAGATGCGTAAAAAACCCGTAACATTAGTTTTAATCCATGTGTGGTATTCATTATTATAGAACTGTATTTATGAAATTTTCAAGTCTACTCGAAGTAAATAAAAATATCTATATCTTTTTATGGTGCCAATCAATATTAAATAGGACCAATGATATGAATAACATGTTTCAAATAAACATTATATTACTTTGTTAAAACTAAATTAACTTAACTTTGAATATATATATGTAAAGAGTAAAATGTAAGTAATAATAATACATTTTGATTTCAAGACCTTTCTTATGGATACATCGGAATCGGAAGACACGCCATATATAAAAAATAGTAGGAGTTTCTAGACATATTATAAGTATATTCCCGTGTTTCTGTAACATGTTACCAATCATCTACGTCTAATAGTATTTTAGAATGAAAAAAAATCTCTGACAGACATAGAGACATAGACACCAAGGTGACTTTAAAAGTGATCGAATATTTCTAAATTTGACACGGAACAGCATTTAATGATATCCCTAAATTCAAGCGCACGCGAGCGAAGCCGCGGGTAAAAAGCTAGTAAATAATAAAGTAAAGTAACCCTCATACGGCCCAGTGGTGACCGCATACTCTTTGTCCAAGATTATTTGGACAAAGAATCCGCCGTGCTTCCCTGTGCGTATCATCGGAATTCTCACATCTTCTAAATGATTTTCTAACTTTCTTTGTATCCGTGGTTTTTGTTGAGCAAGTGGTAAATCAGTCCGAAATATGAATTAATGAATATGACAACCTATTTTAAGTCCACTGCTGAACATAGGCTTTCCCCTCAGATTGCCTTATTGTTATAATAAAGAATTACATAAAATTTATTAACGTGGTAGAGCCACGCTGCTGTTGTATGCGCCCGCTCGAATGGCAAAAGTCTACGCTCCTCCAGAATTAGCGCAAAATAGCCAGTGAATAGAATGGAATAGAATGATTTTTATTCAATATTGATTATTACATAATACTCATTGAAAGTCATTTATTATTTACCACTGGTTCGGAAAATATCTCTATCCTGGGAAGAACTAGCAAGAAACCCAGCGGGACTTTTTTTTCAAACATATTTCACTTAACAATAATTTCGTTTATACAATTTTAAATGATTTATCATAGAACCAGCATGGTGGCGATCACTTATTCCCAGGGGTTATTTTTATTAATGTATTCCTTGATATTATAATAACCCTTTTTGTACAGTTTTTCTTTAGTAAAACTTTTAAACTTGTTTATTGACAAACTTTGAACATGTTCTGGGATTTTGTTGTAAAAGCGTATACATTGCCCCATAAATGAATTACTGATTCCGTGGAGTCTAGTAACTGGCATTACAAGCTTATGTATGTTCCTAGTGTTTAAAGTATGAACATCCTTAGTCATATTACAGCTATTTATGTTTTATTATTATTATTTGTTATTCACACTATTACAGTTAATTTTGATTTATTTCTCTGATTACAGCCTAAAAGACCGCTGAACATAGATCGCCTCATAAGAGAATACTTGTTACAGTTACCACGCTTGGCAGGCGCGTTGGCAACGGCAGTTTCTTTTTAATATTTTCGATTTTTATCATAATCCCATCTTTAAAAATAGAACAGAAATAGAAATATATTCATTTAATCAAAATGACATTACATAATTATACAATACATTGGTTACTTCACTCAAACTCTAGGTTTACATCGCAGGAACAAATCTCCGTTAAGGTTCCCTCTGTCGCTTCGTACAGTAGCCAGTGGATGATATGAATCATAATTTAAAATTTAAAACTTTATACCACCGATTTCGATATAAATTATTAAGAATAACTCAAAAAGTTTTAATAAGACGTTGATTAAATTTATATGGGACCACAAGTGAAGCGACAGCTTTCAAATAAAAAAGAATCATCGAAATCGGTTCACCTAGAAAACAGTTATGAGATAACACACATTAAAAAAGATACAGTCGAATTGAGTACCTCCTCCTGTTTGTAGTCAGTAGAAAACATGTTACGGTTATGTGCGGAGCTTTAATGTTTCTGTCATCTACATCTTAGCGCAGACTTATATTCTATATTTTATTCCTGTTAGTTGTCTGAACTCGGTTTTCACTTAATTTAATTTCAATTAAACTACTATTACGGGCTAATAAAACCCCTTTCAGAAAGTAACATCTTTGATAAAGATAATTATAATTTCTCACCAGCTCATTGTAGTCCACTACTAGTAACAAAAGACACAATAGTCCTCAAAATTCACACTGTCTGTTAACTAACTAAAAGTCGTAGAAAGCAGTTACTAGCATTCTATACTGTTTTTATCTTACTTTTGTATTATCTACGTCTTTTGTACTACCAATATTTTGTTAATCGGAAGGTTATACTAAGTTTTTTTTTGTGATTGAGCATATAATTTGCCTTTTCCTTTCTTTATACATAAAAACTACGGTCACTATTATTTTATATGTTTATCCTTAATAGGTTGATGTAGATCCGGATTATACCGGAAGATGTTTCCAAGGCAAGACAAGCGTAGATTGTTTACAACCAGATTACACTAAGTTAGGATCGATTTGTGACCACAAAATTTTGTAAAAAATTTAAAACGTCGCTCATACTGTCACCGTTTTAATATCAAATGTTGCCATTACAAATAATTGCCCTTCCTTTCTTCAAACAAAAACAAGAGAAAATATATTCAACCAGTGTGTATTGCCAGTGATGTCATATATGTGATGTGGAAAAAGGTCGCCGAGTACCGGAACAAACTTGTATCTGAAGTCGACACCTTGTTGAAAAAAGTTTCGGTCTGGGGGCGACTAAATCTAGTCCAGTTCAATCACCAGAAGACACAAGTTTGCGGGTTTACTGCTAAAAAGAACCCCATTGTCGTATCAATAATGACTCTCAATAATTATTATGGAGGAGATCATCAGTTTCAAGGCATTCCCTCCTGCCGTCAGTCGACAGTCCTCAGCCAGTATCGGAATCCTCGATGCCGACATATCGAATGACGTGCAGTTTCGTAGTCACTTAGAAAAGAAGGCCAAATTGACCCTAAAAAGCTCGGCGTGCTCAGCAGAGCGGGACAGTATTTCATACCGGCACACGGCTTGCAACTTTACAAGGTGCAGGTTCGGCCCCACATGGAATACTCTGTACACACTATGTATACTCTGTAATACATTTTAAAGCCGACAACGAATCTGCAATTCCCCTGGTGTTGCAATTGTTCATGGGCGGCGGTAGTCACTTACCATCAGGTGAGCCGCATGTTCATTTTCCCCCTTTCTATAAAAAAATACTCCCATCTTTGGTCAGGGGCTTCCCAGAGTGAGCTCCTTCCATTTGATCGCATTCAGCGCAGAGAGGTTTGAATCGTAAACGACCGAGTTCTTTCCGATCGGCTTGACTCACTGGTACTGCTTAGAGATGTTGCATCTCTTTACGTATTTTATCGCATCTACCACGGGGAGTGCTCTGAAGAATTGTTCGGACTAATTCCAGCCGCTCAATTTCACCATCACCAAAACTCACAATACTATCCATACCATCTGGATGATTGGCGGTCCACCACTGAGCGATTTAAAAGAAGTTTTCTTCCTCGCACAGCTTCCTTGTGGAATCGATTACCACCAGCGGTTTTTCCAGACCAATAAGACTTAGGGAACTTCAAGAAAAGAGTCTCCTCCTTTTTAAAAGGCCGGCAACGCATCTGCAATTCTTCTGGTGTTGCAGTTGTTCACGCGCAGCGGTAGTCACTTACCATCAGGTAAGCCGCATGCTCGTTTGCCCCCTCTCCTATAAAAATAATATAGATCTGATTTGTGATCCTTTACTGCTGGCGTATGATGAACCTCAAGATTGCTCAGCGAACTATGGAGAGGGGTATGCCCAGAATTTATATGCGTCATAAACTTCGAAATGAGAATATTCGCAGTAAAACTAGAGTTACCGACATAGTCCTACGGATAAGTAAGCTAAAGTGGCAATGGGCCGACCCATATAGCTCGAAGAACTGACAACCGATGAGAAAGTTTCTCTGTCACTCCCCCGTACTAACACTAATGAAGTAACAGATGCAGTAAGCAGCAGGACGTCTAGGACCGCGCTTTATGGCATTCTTAGAACGGGTCTATGTTTAGCAGTGGACAGGTGCAAATACCAATAAATTTAAAACTATTAAGGAATCAGAAAATGTAAATAACAAATATAATTTAGTAAATTTTCACCGACAAATAAAACCCGCCGTTTAGTATTGAGTTACCTTGCCAATATTTACTTTAATACTTTGGCATCTCGAAAGTTTCCCCGTATTCCATCAACTCATTATAGATCTAAAATGTTATTTCCCTCGAGTTTGATTGATAGACGTGAAATTCTATACAATTACCTGCTTAGGAATAAGCTGCTTTATTCTGTGAATTTAAATTATTATGCACCATAAATAATATAGTCGCTGTTATAAATTTCTTCGAGAATATTTAAGAGACCCTTTACGGCTATTGAATTTTACTAAACAATATACGAGTGATTAATTGGATCTTCAAGCAAAGCTATTGTTGTAATTGTGCTGTTTTGTAGTATACTCCGTTTTCATAATCCAAAGTGAAACTAAACTTAGGTACAATTTATGGGTAACGTAATAATTAATAGGATCAGATGTTACTTTGCGGAAACACAATAAACTAACTGGTTAACATTAAATGGCGTATCAACCGTAGCACTATAACAATATACACTACCCTATATTATTCCGTAGTTTTCATAGGAGGTGACAGAAGAACAACAGAAGAACTGAAACAAGAGATGCAGCAGCATTTTTCTGACAACAATCTAATATTTAAAAAAGATGTAATTACCAATCCGCCCGCTACGCGTGGCAACTATGGCATAATCCCCTCTATGCTTGGGGAAGACCAATGTTCAGCAATGGAACTTTATAGGCGTTACATAATTATGTTAACATAAATATAAAAGTAATTACATTATATTTGATACTATTTATTAATTAATTTTAAAATTCAAATGAAAAAAAAACAATGAAATGTGTCACTGTGTATTTATATTCACTAATGCTTTGTTTACGTTCCATTTTTTTGTTATATTTAGGTACTTTAAATAATTTCCAAAAATATTGTACTTCGTATGCCCACAGTGTAGGACATAGTTGAACTTGATTATATAATAATGTATTTAACATCTATGCAATACCTATGATCCCCAAAATAAATGATTATGATTATGTAATGGATGGATGGGTAGATGATGTGTCATCTGCATGAATATAGTTGGAAGAGCACCTCCCTCCCTCCCACCACTGCGTACACTGTCATAGCCAACACTTAACCTTAACACCAATAATCCCATCATAAGTTGACTTAATACCACTACACCGGGAAATACTCACTAAGCACACCGTCGAAAACTCACTTAGCGGTTAGCCATCGCAGTCTCTTTATACTAATGTTGCCTCTGTTATTGTAAACTGTTTTTTTTTTTAAATATCCCGCTTTATTTCTTGCTGGTCCCAGGAGAGAGATATTTTCCGAGCCAGTGGTAAATTAAGCATAAGAGTGACTTTTAATAAGTGTTATTGTAATCTATATTAAAAAAAACCTATGTGCATTTCACACGCGGTAGATGTGAAACCGTCAGAAAAGGAGGCCGTGATAATAGGAATCACGGTATACTGTGTTCTATTTCTTTCTATCACAGGCAAAATCCTGTGAATGTTTGTCTCTTTTTAGTATCGTTTTTTCGTTTCAAAAAGGTCTCCGGTTCTCTACACTCGTCATACGAAACACAGCAGTATTAAGCTGCTATTTTATGCTGGTATTCTGTGAGAGCGTGGTCCTTCCCCGGTCGAGCCAACCCATTCGTGCTACAACTATTCTACTAATGCTGCATTTTGAGCTGCAGCATGGCTCTACCACGTAAAAAAAGTTCCCATAATGATATATAAACATCCATAGTTAGATTATTTTTGACGTAAATGTAGCCGTATATGTCACATAATGTTGAAAGTAAACTTAATTTTTGTTTTTTTTTATTCTATTATAATTTAAGGGACATTTACCGCTTAGGGTATGTCAGTCCCATCATACCCTAATATACATGACTTACTCATATAACACTACTTAATAACTACATGGGCCATGGATTCGAACAGAACTTTCGCATCGTCGCCATTTGGTTGGGATAGAATATTATGGAATGTGCCTACGTCAGTTCTGTTCAAATTCAAAAAAAAATTTTTGTTTTGTTAAGCAGTGATTACAAGAGCCTAATAAGTATCATTTTAATTGTTGCAGCTACAAGCACCGCCACAAATACAGCCGCCGGTGCAACCACAGCCACCACCCGTGCCACAACGAATAGCACCTGTGGTCACCCCGGCACCACTCCCAGTACCACCTCCGGCACCGCCACGACGCTCTTCACCTCAACCGCCACGTCGGGTACCACCACCGACCCCACCGAGACCAATACAGACCGCACCTCCCACCGACCCAAATGGCAACCGCCGGACAGTCCCGCCAATACCGACTCAACCGCGTCTCGATTGCAACAAAAACCCTCAACCACCAGTGCCAAAAAGACCTCCTCAAAAGATACCGGACACTCTATTCACTCCCCCGTCGAGCCAAATGAAACAGTCACCGAGTTCCGGCTCAAATATAAGTGTACGACAGGACTCGAACGTGTCTTCAGATTCATTCAGCCAAACATCTTCACCGTCGTATACAACGAAGACAATGGAGGCGCCACTGCTGCCTCATCAGCACGTGAATAAAAGCTTGAACGCGAAAATTGCGCGCGGACTTTTGTTAAAAGAGCAACAAGAGAAGGAGTCCGGGAATTCCTCGATAACGAAGAGTATGTCAACACCGGCATCGTTGCAGACCATCGTCAGGTTCCAAAATGGCAGCAACATGTCATTACATCATCGGGTGAGTAACTATAATCATTTTTCTGTTAACAATTTTTTGTCGCATTCATTTTAAATTTTTTTCTCCCCAAATAATGAGCGCATTAAAGTACTCGAAACGACGGATTTTAAAAAAAAAATTAAAAATAACTTGAAATTTAACGCGAAAAAGCCGTAAAATTTTATTCTTTTTATAAGTGAAGTTTCAGCTTAACATACGTACTGGCCACAAAGGCCTTTTGTTTCTAAGACGGCTATGTAATATTTTGACAAATGTTTTGGCTGCCAGCAAAGACAGAAAATTTGTATCAGGAATCAAAGAAAATTTATTATATCAACCTAAAGCAATGTGCTTGTACCAAGTATAATTAGATAATAAACATTTTTGTTGTAGCTCTCTCTTCTAATGATAAAATTAAAACGAATAATAAAATATCTAGGAAAAACTTACAAAAATTATAATAAATCTACACAAGTAATGTTCCACGGGCGTTAGATTTGATGCGAAAACATTTTTTTATAGAATCATTGTGACAAACGAGCACACAGTCCACCTGATGGTAAGTAGTTGCTGTTGCCTATAGACATCTACATCTATCCTCGATTAAAAATCAAAATACAGATGTGTTGTCACCTCTGATGACAAAATAGAATGCCTCTTTTCTAGGAAAAAGGGCCTCCGGTTCTGTACACTCACCATATGTATCACATTTATCCCCGATCAAGAATCAAAATGTAGATGCGTTGCCACCCCTACTAAAAGTTACCAGTAATGATATATTTTGACTGTGTGCTCGTTTGTCACTCTTGTTCTATAAAAATAACTAAAACTAGTTATTGATGGACTATGAAGTGGATTATATGCTCGTTTGTAACCCTCAGTTTTACCACTAAAAAATTACCTTCACTATAAGTTATCCACACGTTCGTAGCATCTCGCACAAACCGTTTGTAAAATAAACACTCATACATTTAAAGCAGAAATTTACTTTCTGGTATACTGGGAATAACATACGATAATTCAGTGGAACGTGAAAATGGAACATATTTCTCGAAAGTGCAGACAAGTGCACTTGGCACCGTGTCTGAGTCCGACGTGGAACTTTTAATGCTCCCAACCGGCGATCCCGTTCAAACTTTCCAAGTTTTATATGCAAATGAGACATTATTTGTCAATGCTCGATACGGATTTTCCTTGAGAACAGTCTTGGAATATAAATGAAAGTTTTTTTTTATAGAATAATGATATCAAACGAGCACACAGTTCACCTGATGGTGTGGATGCTGTGGCCCATAGACATCTAAATCTATCCTAGATTAAGAATAAAAATACAGATGTGTTGTCACCTATGATGACAAAATAGAATGCCTCGTTTCTAGTAAAAAAGGTTTTTGGTTCTCTACACTCATCATGTGAACCACAGTCGCATTCAGCTGCTATTTAACTTATTACACTACTGCAAAATAATTTAAATTTGATGATGATGATAATGAGTCTCGTGCTAAAACTAAAATATGGCTTTAGCGTGGCTCTACACGTATATAATTAATAATTTTAGAAAATAGTGAAATTTAACCCAAACACGATAAAATATCACGAATATAAATCTCCGTCAAGTTATAGATATTTCAAAATCTATTTATCTATATCCATTTTGCCCTTTTTCTTCTTTTTCTTCATCAGCCTATAAAACTCCATTTCTGAACACGGTTTCCTTCCATTATTCGGAGAATTTGCTTTAATCGCCACGCTTAGTAGGTGAATTGGCGATTGCAGTGCCAGGTATCTAGCATATTTGTTCGCCGGTTTAATTACACATTGTACATTAGTACCTAAAGTGAGCGAAATGATTACGTGGTATAGCGGTAAACAAACATATCATCATTACAGTCCTTCGCAAGTCCACTGCTGAACACAGACCTCCCCCTAGGAATGCCACAAAGCACGGTCCTGAGCCACCTGCGTCCATCGACTTCCAGCACGTCTTACCAGGTCGTCACTCCGTCTAGTGGAGGGTTGCCCTACACTTTTTTATAATTTATTTAGTTCTAAACATAAAAACAAATAAACATAACAAAATAAATTAATGGGATGGAACTAAAATGGCGTTTACTCAGCAGAAATGTTATAAAAACCACATAGTCTCACAGAATACCAGCATAAAATAGCAGCTTATTGCTGTGGTGTTTCGTATGGTGAGTGTAGAGAACCGGAGAACCTTTTAACTGGAAAAGAGGCATTCTATCTTAGTCCTCACGGCTAACAACGCATCTACATTTTAATTCGCAAACGAAGATAGATGTAGATGTCTATGGGCCACAGCAACCACTTACCATAAGGTGGACTATGTACTCGTTTGGCACCCTTATTCTATAAAAAAATAGTGATCACTATAACGCTGATTTACTTTCACACTTTTTTTCACACACTTACAATACACCTACCGGTACTAGAATCTTTTTCCCCATCGTATCGGTTGTCAGTTCTTCGAGCTATATGGCCGACCCATTGCCACTTCAGTTTACTGATCCGTTGCGCTATGTCGGTCACTCTGGTTCTACTGCGGATATCCTCATTTCTAAATTTATCATGCAGACAAACCCCGACCATAACCCTCTTCATAGCTAAAGAAACGTATAGTAAATTTTGATTACAAGTAAGGAGATGAAAAAATGTGCCTTAAATTGTTCGTAAGCAAGCAACCCGAATTCGACTTTAGTCTTTGCCACTTAAATTGTGTTATCAGGAAGATGTTGCTACCCGTCTTCTGTTTCATTTCCGATTGTCGCCTCTTACAACACCCCTGGGACCTTCAAATTCAAATTCATTTATTCATTTATATGGGGAAATCAATTTTCTTACATCGGCACTACACAACATTTTAGTTTATTATTACATTAGGATTTCCCGTGCGTCTAAATGTTCACACGTAAATTGTACCATCTAGAACCGGAACAATTATTTGTAGGTTATACAAACATTTGTTCCGTGCAGGATTCGAATCCGTAGTTCCCAGCACTGCAGCCATGTTTGTCTACTATACTACCGAATATTCGAAATCTTCTTTAGATATAAATAAAATTGAAGTGTCTGTCTGTTATATCGAAATAGCTTATATTGAGCTGTCTCAAATAAAACTGTGGTTGCCAATCCGCTCGCCAAGTATTGCAATTATGGCAAACATTCCCCATGACAGCTTCTGAAAGTGGGTGGAACTCCAGTACTTGAAGTTCTTCGGAAGCTCTGTTCGTCCTCCATAGTGGCAGCTCTCTCGAGAACAGAAGTGCGGTGGTCTTGTTCTTCAAGAAAGACGACAACGCTCACTTGAAGAACTACTGACCGATTTCACTCCTGAGCCGCTTCTACGTGCTTTTTTCGAAAGTCATTACAAATCATCTCATAAGCTAAACTCGACGACTTGCAGCCTCCCTTACAAGCCAGCTTCCGAAAAGGCTTTAGCACCATACATATATACATATATACCCTTCGGCAAATTGTACAGAAGACCGAAGAGTACAATCTGCCACTTTATCTTGCGTATGTGGACTATGAGAAATCCTTTGATTTTGTCGAAATATGGGCGATGCTGTAGTCCCCTCAGCGGTGCTAAGTTGTCTGCCAGTATATCGAAGTACTGAAGTCTTTGTACAGTAGGGCTACGATGGCAATCCTAGTACAGAACCAGAGTACGAAAGCTATCCAACTGCAGTGAGGTAAAAGACAGAGTGACGTTATGTGCCCGAAACCCTTTACTGCTGCATTGGAACACGTTTTCAAACTCTTCGACTGGAAAGGAAGGAGTAGAAATTTAGTAATATTAAATAATATCTGTACTCGTCATGTATACCTCAAAACTTGAAAATGAGATTGTACAACCAGTGCGTGTTGCCAGTGATGACTTATTGATCTGAAGCGTGGTCCTTCACTGCTGACCGTATGAGGAAGGTCAAGATTGCTCAGCGAGGTTTCTCTGCGTGATAGACTAAAAAATAAGGATATCTGTAGTAGAACTAGAGTGACAGGCATAGCCCAACAGATTGGTAAGCTGAAGTGGCAATGGGTCAGCCATATAGCTCGAAGAAACGTACAGGTCCACAAAGCAGTGGACTTGTGAAGGACTGTAATGATGATGGTGAAGCCGTGAATAACCATATTTAAAATATTTGTCTGTCTGTTTGTCTGTCGTCCGAGTCAATTCGGAATGGCTGAACCGATTCTAATGTCACTTAACGCACAGATAGAAAGTAATGACAGGATAGGAGTAATGTAGGCTATATTTTGTGCGAAAAACTTGGACTTTAAAAAAAACTGGCAAAGTACGAGTCGGACTCGCGCACCGAGGGTTTCGAACAAATCTGTAGGTATATAAGTTTAAAATTATTAAAAATATTTTTATTATATGATGTAACTAAAAAATTATGCTTATCGCAATTTTTCCTTTATCTGTGCTATAAAACGTTGCTTCGTACCAAATTTGAAGATTCTGAGTTCACGGGAAGTACCCTGTAGGTTTTGATTTCGTTGCGAATGTCGAAAATTTACGGCATAAACGGCTGTATCTTTTGATTGCGTTGGCTCAAAATTTTTTCACAGCTCTAAGGGACAGTAGACTTGAGTATTTGATATGAATTTCAGCTTAATACCTCCACGCGTTCCTGAGAAAAAGGTTCTTAATAGACAGACAAACAGACAGACGGACAACAAAGTGATCCTATAAGGGTTCTGTTTTTTTTCCTTTTGAGGTACGGAGCCCTAAAAAAAACATAAAATTGATAAAATAAATGGTTTTCATCTTAAATCTTAATAAGGCTTCCATACCCATCTTACCCAGGCGAAGCGGAAAGCGAAGGCGAATCCCTAGTTATGTAATTAATAAAAATATTATATTCTTTATTCAATATCAGTAAAGAAATAAGCTATACAAAGTAAAATGTTACAATAGGCAATACATACGGCCTCGTGGATTTGAAAGCGATCTTTTCCAGACAAGCATTTCGTAAAGAACTTATGTAACCGATGAA